TCCGCCATTTTATATACAAATTTCAGCATTCGGAAAACACGTTTAAAGTTCCTACTTTGTTCGATTTTTCTAGTTGTATACAAGCTAAACTCGTGAGATCATCCAAATATAACATCTATCTTACAAGATGGAAGTTATTATAGGGTACCACGAAAGTTAGTCTGGTACTATAACATTGAAGAAAACTGCCACAGACTGAAAAGTTAGTCCATTGTGTTTAGACTTCCCCTGGACCGATTTTTCAGTCCCTAGTGATGAAAGGGTTTAATACCTTTCAGAATTATACAAATGATGCAGTTCCACTTTACAGTCTTGCTGCCATTAATAAAAATAAAAACTTGCATTTAACTTAAACCTTTCATCACAGCAGACCGCATATCGGGTCCAGGGGAAGTAAATCCGTCAACACTATGGACTGAGTTTTCGGTCTAGGGCAGTGTTCTTCTTTAGCATTATAGTACCCGACTAAATATCTTTCGGGGTACCTCTAATAACTTCCATCTCCTAATGTAGATGTTATATTTGGATTATCTCGAGTTTAGCATGTATACAACTAGAAATAACGAACAAAGTAGGAACTTTTAACGTGTTTTACGAATGCTGAAATTTGTATCCAAAATGGTGGCGTTTGAAGGAATTGTAGAGGAGAGTTTTAGGAGGATTTAAATAATTTTGACCTGATAAATTTTGATAAAAATGAGATGTATGGAGAGACAATGGAATGCACTTGTGGGTGACAGTGATGAAGGTGATGACTTTAAAGGTTTTGAACCAGAGGAATTGTATGCTCCACGTGGGTTTTTTTTTGGATGAAGCCCGAAAACCAAAGAGATTTGTTTCAGTTTTCTGACAGAGTTGGGCACACCCGAGAGTTAGATGGCTCCAGGAAAGTTTCAGAATATTTTCACATATTCTATTCAGATGAAGTTTTTGGAAAAATTGTCTGTTTAACGAACTTCAATGCGACGATCAAACGTGGCAGAGGCGATATAGGTGTGTGGACAGATCTCACCTTGGAGATCATTTTGGTTCATTTTATAGAATTTTATATATTATGGACACCATGAAAGAAAGACTTGTGTTGCTACTGTGATTATTCACTAGTACATCTAGGGTCAATTGAACATGTTTTGAGAACTTTCTAAGTTTTCTAAGAAGTAATAAAATTACTAGTATTTTACTTGTTGTTACCTGTTTGTACCTGCATTTTAACAGACGTAATAGATATGCATATTTTTTATTGAATTAGGTCGTAAAATTAGATTTGAACCTTGATTTTGAGACCTAATCCAGCCAGGTATCTTTAACATTGGCAAAGTGATGTTTCAAAGTCCACAAGTCATTTTGCTTTACAACTCCAAAGTTACTTAGTGTTGAGGACTCTATGCCTACAAAGTTACTTAGTGATGAAAGGGTTAATCTGAAAAGAATGCTTTAGCAGAAACTAAAATCTTTGGCATTCGGGTCTTATGATGTTAAACACGAAACTTATTTGGTTGGTCCTGAATATAAATGGTGCTGTTCTAACCTCCTTTATGGCTGTGACATTCTTGATAATGGCAGCGTCCTGAATTCAAACATTGATCTGATAATGCAGCATGGCCACCATGACTACAGCTATTGGTCATATCAACATGGAGTTTTCTGCAATCCGGCTTGTCTGTTTGTTCCTAAACGAAAATGGTTTTATTAATCTTGTCGCAAATTATTATGAATTCTTCAAATTCAGATTGTCCTAAGTGAAAATTGTGCTGAATTCGCATCAAATATGTCTTAAGCTAAATTGAAAATTTTGTTTTGAATTTCTGGAAAGTCTTTTCTTTGTCAATAGAATAATAGCCCTTTTAAGAACTAATATTTAATTTTCTTTAAAAAAAAAAAAGAAACTTGTGTCCTTGAAAAATCTGAAATTTGACATGCATATATTTGTGCAATTTGGATCACCCGTTTAAGTTATTATTTGGTTAATATATATTTTTGTATCTTTTCACTTGTTTTTCAAAAGCGATATAGTTATTTTCATTATTTCACTGCTTGTTAATTGGTCTTGTCCTAGTGATTTTCTTGCCGTACATCGATCCATGTGATTTTCTTGTTATACGTTGATCCATGCGATTTTCTTGCCATATGTTGATCCATGCGATTTTCTTGCCGTACATTGATCCATGCGATTTTCTTGCCGTACATTGATCCATGCGATTTTCTTGCCGTACATTGATCCATGCGATTTTCTTGCCATAGATAGATCCATGAAATTTTCTTGCCATAGATAGATCCATGAAATTTTCTTGCCATGCATTGATTCATGAGATTTTCATGCTGTACATTGATCTATGTGATTTTCTTCTTCTTGTAGGGATTAACGCCATTTTTCAGCACAAGATAGGCTATACATGGCAGCCAGTATTAATGATGGACGAAAAACCCTGGAAAACCCAGAGAACCACCCACCCATTAGAAGCTACTGGCAGGCTTTCTCACTTACCATTGATGTACATTGGTCCTTGAATTTTCTTGACATATTGATTCATACAGATAGGTTTGCTAGCATGACTGAAAGAAAATTTCTCAATATATACAAATGAAATCTGATTAGCACATGTATTTGATTTCATATTCTGGCAGTTTTTGTTTTGTAATAGTTTTAAACTATTTCTTACTTGGGCTTTTTGATATTAGCAAGATTACATAAAGCCACCAAAGATAAACAATTTTCTTCTTAATCCTAGTGACCTGGCCATTTTGAATTTTTGTTTATGCCTGTATAAATTGAAGAGAAGAATTTAGCCCAGCTTATTTGTGTAGCCTTTATAAACATTTTCATAGAATAGTGTGATACATTAGCTACATTGATATAATCTTGGTTTGCATCAACATGGACACTGATTTTTGGAGAACAAGAAACATTATGAATAAATCTAAATCAATTTCAAACTTAAAATCTTTGGAATGATGAAACCAAACATTTGAGTAAAAATGTTGCCAATCCATAGAGATGGATATGATGCTCCAAAATCTCTACAAGTGAATTTCAACAATTTTAACAGCCAGTATTCTGGTAGGACTAGCAGTTTGATGTTATCTAGTGACTAAATAAGATTTTATTCTTGGTCTGTACTAATATTTTTAAGTTTTGAATGGCTATATATAAATAATACTTTGATTAGGGTATCTCAGTTGTAATGTACTGTTCTATTGCCCCCTCCATCTCGATGAACAAACTGAGTTAAAAAATTTTTAAGCATTCTTAACTCTTTACTACCTATTGGTTTACACTCAAATGGCGACTTTTGATGCCATTGTTTAAATCTGCATACTGTTTTACCCCTGAAGGATTTTAACTTGTTGACCCATTTCAGTTTTCTTTCCTGATTACGCATCAAAACATATGACAGGAACTTATATTAAACTTGAAACAATGTTCTCCAGATAATGAACAGTTTCATTACTAAACAGATGAAATATATTTAAGAAAAATAGTTGAACCTAATTTTGCTGCCTTGAATTGAAACAGAAAACTCTTATTTTATGGTCTCTTGGAAACTCATTTTGCTCATTTCTGATGTACATGGAGGAAGTAGGCATGGGACATTGCACACAGCAGGCATGGGACATATGGATATTGCACAAACAGCAGGCATAGGATATTGCATACGGCAATTATATACTTGGAGGAAGTAGGCATGGGACATATGGATATTGCACACAGCAGGCATGGGACATGGATATTGCACACAGCAGGCATGGGACATGGATATTGCACAAACAGCAGGCATAGGACATAGGATATTGCACACAGCATGATATACTTGGAGGAAGCAGGAATGGGACATGGATATTGCACACAGCATGATGTACTTGGAGGAAGCAGGCATGGGACATATGGATATTGCACACACAACATGATGTACTTGGAGGAACCAGGCATGGGACATATGGATATTGCACACACAGCAGGCATTGGACATGGAAATTGCACACACATCATGATGTATTTGGAGGAAGCAGGCATGGGACATGGATATTGCACACACAGCATGATGTACTTGGAGGAAGCAGGCATGGGACATATGGATATTGCACACACAGCAGGAATGGGACATGGATATTGCACACACATCATGATGTACTTAGAGAAGCAGGCATGGGACATGGATATTGCACAACAGCATGATATACTTGGAGGAAGCAGGTGTTCCTACCAGATCTTATGATTATGATCAACATGATACCACTGTAATGAGTCTAATTTTGAGTAATTATTGTACCTTAGATATGCATATATTCATTAAAATTCTATTAACTCAAGTTTGCAAGGTTTTATGTGAAGAGTCATTTTGGGCTTTTTCCTATGTCAGGTGTTAAATTTGAGAGGCCAGCATCTAAGGCTAATTTAGAATTGACCCGGGCATTAATTTCCTGACCATACCAGTTTATATGGAATGCCATGTCAAATAGTCATTGAACAAAAGGAAGTTAGTATATGTCTTATTTCTCAAATTCTAGGCCGTCAAAATCTGATGAAATAATTCCACACAAAATAACCAGATGTTTTCATGACTGACTTTTTTCTAAAAATGCGGTTTACATTTCCTTTCTAGCCCATGTTAGCATGTATGTTCATCTTGTTGCTGATTTAATAGTACAAACGTCTCTTGAACCACCATTTTCCCTCTGTAAACTGCTTTCTTCTGGAAAAGTTGCAAGTCAGGTCTCTTCCAACTTACAGTATAAAAAAGTTGACATGTGTATCAGGCACTGCTTAACTGCATGGTTGAATAACTGTGATGAGATGTAATTATGATTTTTAACATTTCTTTAACAATTTTTCAGTCGTATTGTTATGAAGTCTAATGTCTAGCACTGGGGCATAATGCAGCAGACATGTAGCATGATCTCCCACCCAAATTATTCTGACACAAGGCCAACCAGTCCTAACACTAACCTCTTAATGCAGAGCGTCAAGCGAGGTAGCTGTTAGTACCATTTTGTCTATGGTATGAATCTACCGGGAATCGAACCCTCAACCATCGCATATAAGGCAAATGCTCTAACCACTAGGCCACCGGAACGGTTCAATACAGGTTTGTAGATAAGGTAAGCATTAACTTTACATCAATAATGAACCAATAATTTAATGGGTGTATTTTATGCTTTGTATTCTAGCAGCATATGGCTGTCTTGACTGGTCATTAATATCTACTCCATTTATATTGCATAAATGGATAGTTTTTGGCTGTGTGTCATAAAGCTTTTCTCACCTCACCTGTCTCAGAATCACATTGATGTTGTTAAAAACCATGACTGTGTTGTCATTCCTTTTAGCGATTCCTTCACACAAGTTGCTGATTGCCTTCTGTTCACTATTTTTTTGCCCCTAGGAAATGGTAAAATAGATATTCACTTGCTGCATGTAGTGCTACAAATGTAAATGTTTACTTCTTCCATGTGTTCAAAAAGGGTATTAATGGAAAAGTATGTATTGAAGATTTTTTTTCCCTTACCAGGTCTCTGTATAGATTATAATCAACACATACTCCTGTAATGTCAAATTTTTTAGTAAGTAGTGTATCTCAAAATTTAATATATTATAATTTTATTGCAGTTAAGCCAGCAAGGTTTTATGTGAAAGGACACTTCAGGACTTTTTCTATGTCAGTTATTAAATGAGAGAGGCCAGCATCTACTGCTAATTTAAAACCTGGGCATCACAAAGCTGTCCTGGGAAAGTAAATTTTATGTTGCTGATCATAACTGCTTATTGAGAATGCCATGTCAAATAGTCATTGAAAAAAAGGAAGTTGGTTTGTGTCATATTTCTCAAATTCTAGGCTGTCAGAATCTGATGAAAGAAATATCGAGGGGTGGGCAAAATTTTGGAATGGCTGATTACGATTGGTCAGTTTGACTCTGGTCATACACCCAGGAAGAAATGTTGAATTTAATGTAATTTCCTCGGAGATTTTCCTGCAAGAGGAACAAGATTCGTCTCGTGAGGAAAAGCTTGGGAGTAGTTCTTTTTGTCATTAAGATGAGTAAGGGGAACAGGTGGCTGTCGTGTAGATCTTCAGTGCTAGGACGCACATTTTTCTTGAAAAGAACACCATAAATGTACGCAATTTGAATTTTTCATGCAATTTTCTATTTGTTTGGTTTTATGCAAATGTGTTCTATCTGCCTAGGATCTATAATGTGTATTGTTTATTTGATGTCATGGAAACCTGTTGATATGTTTTTTATGTGATTTATTTTTTAATTTTCTCAAGGTCATGCTACCAGGCGAAATGGGTGAAAAAATCAATGGAGAAATGTAAACTTTGCCTTCTTCGGTTAGGAGAGCAAAACTGACTTCGCCCTCTGACTTTTTGGACATAAAATGGATGTACGTTATGACTTTTGAGATGCTACCTCACTGTAGCCAGTAAGTTCTGGCACTGATGTAACCCAAGGTAGAATGTATTTACATGGTGTTGATACCAGTCTGATATTGGTGCAGATTCACATGCAAGTTTTAATAGCTAACTGACTATTAACCCTTTCCAGAGCTAGGTATCACTGCTCGATTTCATTTAGTTGGGCCTTCTATACTCTACTATAATGGAAACATACTAAATTCTGTTTAGAAATTTAAACATCAATATGCAAATAGTAATTTGCTTTTAAAAAATGTGATCAGTGGAGAGCATTTTCTAATCTATTTTTTTTAAATGGAGATTTTAACTGCCGTATTTGCATATATTTGAAATCTGTTTGAAACCATAAATAAACTTTTAATGATGGACATCAGTGTATATGATACAGCACTTCATTAAGCTATCAATATTAATAAATACCGGAAATTGAGCAAAAAGATTCAGGAAAATATGTAATTAAATGAAAGCAAAGTTTATATATTGTGATAGGAGTATTACCTTAAATATTTAACAATGTAGGTCAGAAACATGTGCCAATCTCTGTTGTGGAATTCAAAACAATGTTGCCAGGGTAAAGTTGTTTTCTGACATATCATATTTTAATTTTCATGTAAATACTAAAGATATATATAGTTGTGAAGAAAGTACTATTTAACCAATGCATATCATTATTATCAGTAGGTAGACAATTAATACAACCATAAAATAGGCAGTCCTGATGAATTTTTGTAACGAAGTAAGAAAGTCAGTAGTAGCAGCAGGGAGGGTGAAGCCTAAAAACTTTTTGCTCGTGTCGTTAACCTAAAATAAGGGTTCCTACAGAGGCTGAAAAAAAGGATAATAACCCAAAACCAAAATCTCTTACTTTTATATTACCGTACGGTCGATTAAAAACCGCATAAAAAGCCGCATGAGATTAGTTCAGTTTTGTTATACTATTATTGACTTTTTTTCCTGATTTTATCGAACTATTTTTTTCGTTAAAAACTCGAGCAAAATATTGTAGAGGTTCACCCTCCCTGCTGCTTCACATTAATATTAATATCGGGACTTTTAACAATAGATTTGGGTTTTTAAACAGACAGATATACTTTATTATGTTAGGTTTACGACAAATATCACAGTGTGTAATGCGTATAGTTCATTAACAGATAGTCAAGGGGAACTAACCAAATATTTTATCCAGGCCTATACGATATCTGGATCTTGGGTCATGTAGATTTGTTATAAATCCAAATGGAACAGATTGTGCTTTAGAAAAGAAATTTTTAAATTTAATCGTATTCATATCCCCTGAAGACCAAGTATAATAAATATTCTGCAGGGTATAATTATCTACTCCATTAAACACAACCAAAATATTACAGTTATCTCTAATCACTTTAGGTATTTGTGTATATCTTTGAGTAACATAAATCACGTCTGTGTTTTTGTGACGACCTGGAGAAAATATTCTAGCTGGATTAGATTGCTTGTCCAACATCACATCATCATATACTACGAGATTATTAATGAATCCATCCAAGTTATCTACAGATGGAGCTTCATCTACATCTGTGATAAAATCAATGTCTTCACCGTCTTTATTAACTGATTTTGCTTTTTCGTTAAAATCTTTAAGTACTTCGTAACAATGCTGATCATCCACAGACGGTGCTATTAAAATATAGCTTGTTCCATCTCATCCATCTCATTATTTAATTTAATAATAATTGTGTTTAAACCGATCCAGATGAACCTATTATAATCATTCTTATCGAATTTGGTAATGCTGGATGGTGCTTTCCTGGTTCTTGTTTTCGTGTCGCCGAAAAATCAATTATAGTATCCATATTATTAATAACATGAATCTAAATTGTTTTCGATGTAGATCATCTACACCCACCGTTGGATTGACAACAATAATAACGAAAAATAAACGACGTGCATTAACGGGTAAATGTATAAAATGTACAAAAATTATAAATTTATCACCGTGTCTGATTCAGGGACAAAGATAGGTGGAGATATAGCCGCTTCATTAGGAAAATTACCCGCATTACCATGGGCTAAATATATTGGTGAGAAACACCTCCCTGGATATAATTATTGTGGTCCTGGAACTCGACTTGATACCCGACTTGATTATCAAGATCAACCAAAAACAGGAGAGTATCCAGTAAATAAAATTGATCAAGCATGTCACATTCATGATGTTGCTTATAAAAGTAAAGATTTGCAACAACGGCATCTTGCAGATGTAAAATTGATTCATGCATTAAATTCTATACCCAATAAATCTGAGAGAAACTCGCTAGTTTCCTAAAAAAAATCTGCTATGAAAAGTAAAATAGTGTTAGGGGCTGGTAATTAATTATATAATTATTATAATGGAATCCATTTATTATAGCCCAAGAGGGTATTGGAGGGGTAAAGCAGCGATCACCAAACTTGCTAAAACAGCAAAAGTTTCACATTCTGTTACTGCAGCGTGGTTAGCACGACAGGCAATATGGCAAATTTATTTACCACCACCAAAAAAAAATTCAATATGCACATTTTGATGTCACTGTTTCTAACGAAGTTCACCAAGCAGATATTTTGGTTTTACCACACGATACAATTAATACACGTGGACGAAAGTCACGCACGTATAAATACGCATTGACTGTTGTTGATATTGCAAGTAGATATAAAGAAGCTGAACCATTATTAACAAAAACATCATTTGAAGTGGCATCTGCGTTTGAGCGAATTTATCAACGTGGTTGTCTACAATGGCCACAGTTATTACAAGTAGATCCTGGCAAATAATTTCCTGGCGCAGTATTATCTTTGATGAAAAAACAACGTCAAAATAAGACGAGGGCATACTGAAATTCACCGTGATCAAGCAATCGTTGAACGATTTAATCGAACACTTGCTGAGCGGTTATTTGGATATCAATATGCGAAGGAAATATCTGCTGACTTTAAGTCCGGTGAGAGATCTCGTGAATGGGTTGCAAGGTTACCAAGTGTGATATCTGCATTAATAATGAAATTACTCGTGCAAACTTCCATGAAACTTTCTAATGCAATAACAATAAAATATATACCACGTAGCGATGAATACGGACAACGAGGTCAACTACCAGTATTAGGTAATGTGATTGTGAGATATTTATACGAACCAGGGGAGTTGGAGGGTGGCAAAAGACGAGCTACTGACCCTCTTTGGAATGTGACCACACCTACAATTTCTAGCGTGGTTAGATCTACTGGAAGACCACCCATATACAGACTAGATTCTACTGCACCTCGACGAGGATTTGTGCGTGAACAATTGCAAGTAATTCCTGCAGATACACAATTACCACCGCGTTCACTTATGTAAATTAGCACCTCTTCGTCGATTGCATTCAAGACAGGTCAGCATTACATTTTCACATGTGTGACCAAGATCACTATTTATTCTGTTTACGGTAAATTGTCTTGGATTATTATTCGAATATTGCCATAACATTATTGTGTTACAACTTGCACAGTGATTATTCTGTAGTTTTAGTTTTATAATAAATTCAGTATCAATATTAAAGTCACGTTTAGTTTTTTGTCACATTGTTTATAAGACGCTAATTTTTTCTTTATTACAACATCGTCATTAGTAATCTCAGTTATCACATAATCTATAAT